TAATTGTGTTTGTTTTAGGTTGTTGTCGGTTAGTCATCGAATTGAACTCTTTCAGAATATGAAGAATTATAAGGAGAGTGAGAAATAGAGAAATATTATTAGCAGAACTAGCAGAATTGTAGAACCTGAGCCATGTTATAAGGACCTTTACAAGATAGTTCCTTTTTAAAATTTCTTTTTTTGAATCCTATTGAATAGGCCGAATGTTTGTTCTTCTTTTGTGTTTCAAACCAATTTTAAATGTACATGGAATATGGAATATTTTCTGATCAATTGGTTTCATGTCAATTTATCTTATGTTAGTTGGACAAAAGTGCAAAGCTTTCAACCCTGGTAAAAGTTCTCATAACTTACTATTTTTGGGGATATGATCATGTTTGCATTGGTGTGTTGTATACTGTCTCCACCAAACCTGGTTTATTTTGAACTTATTTAATTGCAAAGTGAAAATTGAAGTGGAAGGGAGGCCTTTTTATGCCTTAGGTTTGAACACATAAAATTTTGCTTTATGGAACTGGTAGACATTCTTTATTATTGTTCCCTAAATGTGATCTATATGAGAATACATTATCAATCACTTTAAAATTAATTGGGTTACAGAGGTTCCTTTATTGTCAACAAAGTGAATCACGTGGAAGACTAATCAAATATAGTTTAGTATACAATCACAATAACATTGCATCAAATTGGGACAAAAAAGAATTAGTCATAAATCCTCACTCCACTAGATATCTGCACCAAAATTTGTACTTCTTTTACTGACTTTATATACTTGTGATATTGTAATGTACTCTTTTTCTGACTTTATGTTTCTAATATTTGACGGTTTTACAATAGAGTGAACCTCAAAACAAGTCATCAACCTTTAATATATTTTCACTCTAGGTTATCAATTAAATTTATTTGTAACACAAGTTACCTTACTAAAGATTTAATCCATTTCAGATTATTCTGTTAATTTTGGCCGTTAAATAGTGACAAAAATCCATTTTTCACATGCTTTTAGGTCCAGGGGTATTTTCGTCATTTTATTATTATTTTTTTATTTTTTAATCTTTAATTTTTTTTTTCAATTCTTCTTCTTATACTTCCTAACTTGTATACACTAGTAGTATAATTCTAAATTTTAAAAATTTATTTTCCATTTATATTTTAACTTCTAGATTATAAAATGTTTTTAAAAAAATTTAAGAAATGAAGAAGAAAATATCGAGTTAAAGTAAACATAAAAATTAATAATTTATCATTTTAAACAAAAAGAAAAACTAAAATAATTAGCTAACCAAGTTGTTTCTTCTAGGTTATTTAATTTTTTTCAACTCGATTGAATTATTTAATTATTGATTTTCACGTTTCTTATTCCTTTATAATCTAGAAGTTAGGATACAAATGACGAAAAAATACTTTTTCAAAATTAATTTTTCATTTGTATTTTAACTTGTAGATTATTAAAAAAAGAGAATAAGGAACGTTGAAATTAATAATTAAATAATTCAATTGAGTTGAAAAAAATTAAATAACCTAGAAGAAACAACTTGTCTTAGCTAATTATTTTAATTTTTATTTTTTTAAATGGTAAATTATTTATTTTCATTTTTACTTTAACTCGAATTTTTCTTCTTCATTTCTGATTTTTTTAAAAAAAATTTTATAATCTAGAAGTTAAAATACAAAAAGAAAAGAAATTTTTAAAATTTAAAATTATACTACCAGTATATACAAGTTAGAAAGTATAAGAAGGAGAATTGTAAAAAAAAAAAAATTAAAAAATTAAAAAAATTTAAAAAAATGTCAAAATGACAAAAATACCCCTGAACCCAAAAACACGTGAAAAATGGATTTTCGTCACTATTTAACGGCCAAAATTAACAGAGTAATCTGAAATGGATTAAAACTTTAGTAAGGTAACCTGTGTTACAAATAAATTTAATTGATGACCTAGAGTGAAAATATATTAAAGATTGATGACTTGTTTTGAGGTTCACTCTTTACAATAAAGAACTAAAATACAATCTCTTTATATGTCTATGGTTCAAAAAAGTTGATTAGCCTTGAGAAATTACCTCCATGTCTAGATTTGAATATTTTTCTCTAATTAATACGCCTAGGCTCTCGTTGATATGTATGCTTGATTATTTGAAAATTTGGAATATAATGATGAGTTACTTTAGTAGCTTGATAAGGCTCTTGGTGTGAGGGAAAAAAAATGATAGTATACGGATTTGCTACATGCACTAGTGAGCCACTAACTTGATGTCTAAATTATGATAGTTTATTTGTGGTAAATTTTGCTTTACCAGTCAAATAAAATGCTGGACACTTGGCTACTCGTCTTAATATTAGTACCTGATGATTGGGAATGCTTTGGGGAGAAGCTACCCTTTCTGCTTTGGATTGACTAAGCATAGAGCATACTGCATTACTTCATATGTAAACCTCATTGACTTTTTGTTGTTCTTCAGGTTCAGGAACTTCACTGATTGTACCAGATACAGATAAAACTAGCAAAGAATTTGTAATTGAAAGGGGTAGGTACATTAGGAAAAGATAATCACTGTCTCTGTACCATTTAAAAAAACTTTGTTTCGTAAGACTTTTTGGTGGCTTTTGCTTCTCTGCCTTACTATGCTTCTTGCAATCTATGCCAACAGTCATTTGGTTGTCAATAGTGAGAAAAAAGATAAGTATTTCGAGCTTCTTTACCCACTAAATGTCAAAAACAGGAATCTATTATATTATTCTAGAAGACCTTTCAGAGAAAGAAACACTCTTCTATAACTTTGCATGTAAACGTTTTTGTTGTTTATCCTTAATTTTCTTTTTATCATTTACTATATAATTTCTTCATCTATCTGGAACAACTTTCATTGGTGCATATTCTTCAGCTGCTCGCCAAACAACTATGAACTATGCTTCACACGTACTCAGTTGATTCTTAAGATTTGCTCAACAAATAGTATGACGAAAAATAATTTCATTGAGTTTGATCTTATGCAACTACTTGACTCTTGCTCAGTAAAGTCATGATCAACTAATAGGTTTGGCATTTTTTTGGCGTATATCCCTACACTTTTATTTTTGCTGCTAATTAACCATTAGTTTCTGGTCTCCATTTCTATTTTTTGCACTAATATTTCCATATGTCAAACCTTTTCCCACAAACCTGGTCTGATAGTAGTGTTGATAAGTGATTCTTTGATAATCCTGTGCAGGCTTAAAATCTATCCTTTATATAAATAGTTCTATTATTGTTATTCTTTGCACTGCTGCATTTAAAGTAATGCAGCCATTGCTGTCAAGACAAGCCCAAACCAATAGGAAAGTGGTTCATTCCAAGCTCACTTTACCCGAGAAAACAAGGCTTCTTCGCCTCCTAAGGCTACTACTTTGATCTTTTGTAGCAACCGATCCTAATTTATGAGCTCCTAATACAGAAATTCATAAAGCTCGAGTACTACCTTTTACTTCTTCCCGATTTGGTGAATACAAATAGTCTTATCGACTAAAGAAACGAATAGAATACAAAGTAAAGTCAAAGATAAAAAACAATCTATATTTCATAATAAAAAGATTAAGTAATTGTAATTCAAATTATTGACATAGAATTCAAGAAAACAAACTATTTTATACTTTCTCTGTAGTATTACTTTTTGGTTACGAACACAATATAATAATTATAAAATACAAACTGGTCGCGCAACGACAAAGACAAGCCTAGTAAGAATATAAAGCTATAAACTCTATTATCAAAATATAGTTTTGTACAACGGTTTCTCTTTTTGGGTAAACATTATGCATTGTTTCTTGTGCTTTGATTTTACTGTTATTAAAATTAGGAAATGCTTGTCAAGTGCCGTCATGGATTTTTTTTAAAAAAAAGGAGTGTATTTTTAATAAGAGTTACTCCTACCAAATGGCTATTATATAGTATTTATTCAGTAGGAGAAGAGTAAGTCAGAGAGGATACGAAAGTTGACTTTATGGAGAAAATACAAGTGATCAAGAATAATGACAGAGCTAAGGAGGTTTTGAGAAGGGTAAATTCTTTTAAGGTAAGCAAGTGATCAAGGGGAGTCGGGGGCTGAGAGGGTAACTAAAATATTGCTCATCAAATGAATCTATATGTTATGCTGTTCGTTTGCAATCTTTTATTAATGTTTGTGGTAACATTAATATAAGTTTTTTTTTTCTTCTAAAAGAAAATGATGATTTGTTGTCTTCATAGTTCAACTTATTTATGAGTAGCTATAGGACCATCATACTATGCCTTAAAAGAAAAAGATGAACTTTTAAGTTCAACACAATACCAAATAAATTTGGCGAAAAAACATTTGAAATTTGCCATATTATGTATCCTCGCCACATTTGAATCCTAGCTTCAATCTGGAGGTCTACCATATTAAGAGAAATCCAATCAAATTTAGATGTAATGGAACAAAATAAATCACTCATGCATTTGTGATGTACTATGAAGAAAGTCGGAAATCGAGAATCCGGCTTGTGAGAAAGATTCCAGTCGATATATGTTTCCGACCATTTGATTTTTTTTTGAAAAGTTCAAACATTTGATGACTTTCTAGCAAGATCAGCATTTGGGACACACCAATAAAATTAAAAGGGTTGTGAACTCTAATTTCAGTGTATAAATTATTTAATCAATACTACATTTGTTCGAGTTTATCCTTCCAACAGAAATTTCTCGATATTGTCGCACATAAATCGTAATCGGACCTATTAATATGACAAAATAAATATTCCCTCTAGTTCTAATTATAAAATACAAATTACTAACATTATATTTCTAATACAAAAAACACGTAAAAATACAAATTAAAAACCCAAACAAACAAAGCCAGCAATTTGCACTTTGCATTCATTACAGCCAGCTAATACATCGTTTTTTAAAAAAAATAAAATTAAAGAAGTAATTATGTGTTGGAGTTTCCATGAGTTGATATATATGTATATATATATAGTCTTATCAGAACGTATCCCAATGCAACCAAAAATCAACATAGAGAGCACAACTAAGAGTCTTTAATCACTTTTTTGATCATTTGCGCTTCGTGTTAGAGGGGTTACCATCTTCCATCTAGCTCTCAAATCTTCCCAATTTTAAGATTCAAGCGTTTTATTTCCTTTTCTTCTTTCATTCTCTGGCTAATTTGTCTTTCTACCACCAAAAATAAATTCTCCAGAAGAAAAGAAAACCAATAACTAATTTTTGAACCCTTATATTGTTCTTGCTTTTCAGTCTTCCAACTTTTCAGAAAGCCAAAAGGTTCTACTTGAATAGAAGAAAAATCCTTCTCAAATATTTCTACTTCGCCTTAAAAGGTTCTTCAGTAAGGTAGACACTTTTCCTTTGATTCTTAGTTTACATTTAAAGCCGTTATATCATTTTTATCTTCAAAATACATAAGATTTAGGTAGAAAAATAGAATTGATGTCAAATGGCATGCGTTTCGATCAGTTCATTTTGTTTAAATTAAACTGTGACAATAAATAGAAGTCTCTTCCAAAAGTTATTTAGGGGGGTTAAAGCAATAATCGATTCTTGTTGATAAAAGGTGATTAGAAGATTTTAAGGGCGAACAGTAGTCGTTGGTCGTTACATATACACTTGATAAAATTGGCTAGCAAAGGAGTGGATGTAGCGAGTGTGGTGAGCCCAATTGCCATAAATTATTTGAGATTTTTAAATGAACTCAATAAAAGTCATTATATTGCATCAGTTCTTTCGTAAAAGAAGCAAACTAGATATTGCATCAGCTTGCAAGTTATATATATACTAGTATTATTTTTGTCCAAAATCCCCTGTAAGTCCAAAATCCTAATCTTTAAACTACTTGGTATAGAAATGGAACTTCATCAAGTTCTACACATGAAAGGAGGAGATGACAGTTCAAGCTACGCAAAAAACTCAGTATTTCAGGTAAAATTTGGTATTTTATGCTCATTTTAATTCATGTTTGGGTCTACTTACTACTACGCTCTCAATTTTTCTAATACAGACGTCAAAATTATCCGCGGCATTAGTAGTGAATTAATAATACAATAACATACAAAGTGATCACGTTTTTTAATTTTTTTGATCTTCAATACATGTCACATATCTATCGCTTCGCAGTTTAATTAGCTAGAAATATAATTTCGGGAAATTTATCATTACCCAAAACCTTTCCTTTATTAATATTTTCTTTTGTGGGAATGTACATATATACTCTCTCCATTTCAAAATGCAAGTCGTTTTAGGTTTGGAGAGATTTTTCAAAATGTAGGCCGTTTTACAAATTTTAGGCAAATTAATGACTATTTTTTCAACTTTACCCTCAATAAATGATGCTAATCTATTTTTATTTAGTCTTGTTTATAGTTTCAATGTAATTAATGAGGGGTAAAAAAGATATTTTTAACACATAAATTAATTATTGGATGATTGTCTCCTTAATTTACGTGTCAAGTCTAAAAAGACTTAAATTTTGAAATGGAGGGAGTATTCCAGAAGGAAAAATAATATGTATAGTGAAAAAATAGTGAAAAAATAGTGAGTGATGTGGAGTATTTTTGGCTCTTAAATTTTTTGTCACTTTTCCATTAAAATTTTATTTTATCTTTTAAATTACACTTTTACCCTTAATTAATAAATAGACATATTTAGTGAGAATTGTGCATTTTTTTTCATTAATCACTATTATATTTTACTATAATTTATCACTGATTAAATCATTGCACTTCCAGAAAACAGTAGCAATGAAGTCAAGACACATTCTTGAAAGGAACATCAAAGATTTATGCAAAGGAATTAACGTGAAAAAATTAATAGATGGGAAGTGCTGGATAAGGATAGCTGAATTGGGATGTGGATCTGGACCCAATACATTGTCCACCAACCAAGGTATCATAGAAATATTTGACAAGGAATTGTACCCTAATAATAACCTTGATAATAATTTTAGGGTTGAGGTCGATGAGCCAGCATTACCTTCCGTTGAGATATTACTGAATGATCTAGTAAACAACGATTTCAACTTGATCTTCAAGTCACTCCCTAAATTCTACGAACAACTTGAGAAGCATGAACGCCGCCGGCTGCCCGGAACATGCTTTGTTACCGTCGTGCCCGGTTCATTTCACGGGAGGCTATTTCCGGACAACTCCATCCACTTCTTCCACTCATGTCAAAGCCTCCATTGGTTGTCTCAGGTGATTCCCATAAATTTTGATTACCTCTTCTTTCAAGCTTAGGAAATCATTAAACAAGAAAAACAGAATTCACACTAGCTCAATTACATTATATATATATATATATATATATATTTTATAAAGAAAATCCACTATAATAGATCCCACTTAAATAAGATACTTATTCCGGATCGGAATGAATTTCTAGAACTCTAAGAGATCCACTTTTTACTGCAAGACCAAGACCTGGTTCTCAGCTTAATAACGATACATATTTAAATAAGAAAAGAAAAACAATTTGATGTTTTTAATTTAATGAACATTTACTTCGTTTTTTTTTTCCTTCTTTTTTGATGTTTCACCAGGTTCCAGCCAAACTAATGACTGAGGACGGTTTATCACTTAATAAAGGAAACATTCTCATAGGGGAGACTAGTCCTCCGGCAGTTCATGATGCATATTTGGAACAATTTAAATCCGATTTCACGACATTTTTGCGGGTGCGTTCGATAGAGTTGGTGTCGCAAGGAAGAATGTTCTTCATCTTATCCTCGGACACCCCTGGAGATGTCTGCTATCTGAACCCGACACTGAATGATATGGTGAAGGAAGGAATGATTGAAGAGAAAGCTTTGGATGCCTTCAATCTTCCAATGTATAAACCGACTCTGGAGGAAATGAGGTGGATCATCGAGGAAGAAGGCTCGTTTGAAGTGAATCGAATCGAAACGATTCGATGGAACAAAGATGATGATATTAAGAACGTGGATCCAAGTTCCCTAAGGGAATTGCATGCGAGGTCCGTAAGAGCTACGTTTGGGAGCTTAATTGGGAGCCATTTTGGGGATGGCATTTTGGATGATCTCTTTTGCCGATTCTCAAAGAACATATCTCAATGTGCCGAGAATTTCACCTGGATGCATCATAGTTTGGCTGTTTCCCTTGTTAAAAAGGATTAGTTCTCTCAATCTCGTTCCCTTCTCCCACATCTTTCCAATCATTGGGAAGATTCCACCCCCGGGAACATGATTTGGTTCAATTTTAATTTTTTGAAGACACTTTTCTGCCAAAAGTTAATTTCAAAGTTGGTTTTTTTCTTTTTTTTTTCCTTTTCTTGGTATAATCTATTGAGAGAGATTTGCTCGGTAGACTATTTGGGTAGTGTTAATTACCAAAATAGTTCTTATTCCGTTAGAGATATATATGTTTACTTTCGAATGGTGTAGTTCAAGAAGATTCACTTATAATAAAAGATTTGGGACATTTAATGAATAATTGATTAGTAGACACATTCTTGATTAAATTCAAACTCTGGTACATAACTTTTATGGTTAGCTAATGATGTTGGATGATGTCTAATAAATAAATAAACTTCAGTTTGATCTACAAAAACTTAAAATTAATAAGAAAACAACAAAATAAGTGTTATTCATACAGTTTTACAGAACGAAATGGTTATCTATAATTATAAATAAATATGATCCCACCGTTTCTGGTCAAGGTTATTTACTCGAAGTTATGGAACCAGATAAAGAGTTGAGATAGTTACCCACATTTGAAACTCGTACGTTTGATTAGTATATAGAGTATTATATATCGACAGTAAAAAAGGTGAATATCATTGAGATGTTAAATCATCTTTATTTGTGATGCCTCCCGTCTTCTTCTTGTTCGAAGATCTTCATCTTTCAATTATTGATATGACAGCCATAATCAATATATTGTCATTTCATGCAGCTCGTAATTAAGTGCACGATTAGGGGGCGAAGTTTCTGGAGAGACGGTGGTGGCTAGATAGTTGACTATCTGGAGTAAACTATCTGGAGGGAATTACTATATATATATATATATATATATATATATATATATATATATATTGACTCTATTGACTCTTGGCCATTTGGCATTCATTTTCCTATGATTGCCGAAGGTCTTACAAGGTGTGCGTGGTAATATTGAATTGAAAAAAAAGAACGTTTTGTTATTGGTGTTGTGTACTTGTATTTACCTATTACAAGAACCGATCTCTAGGAATGTTTTTCTTCGAAACGTATGTTTGACTTCTTGTAAAGTCTATAGTGATTGTCGTTATATTGCATTTTCAATTTGTTATGCTTGTTCATAAATAATGTAACATGTGTTCTCCGAAGTCTGAAGTACATTTCTCTTTTGTGACCGTGTATGAAAGAAATACTCATTTGTTCCTCTCATTATTATTCTGTCTCAAAAAATAAAATAGCCACATTAAATCGTTGAATTTGTAATAAAATTAGCTCATATCATAATAATCAATATGTACTATTTTTTTTTTTTGGATACATAAAATACTACTCCCCCATTATCTCTACATAATCATTTCTATATGGTTATAATATAAAAAGAAAAGAAGAAAGATATATATATATATAAGTCAAACAAGGTCAAATAAATTCCACAAACAAGATTACAAGTTTGAAATGCCAACTTTACTAGATTTCAATCCGATTTTTTTTCTTTTTTTTTTTTATGTATTAGATATCAGATCATATTTTGGTTTAAGGGGAAGAAAGTCTATCGTATACGGGAAAATTTGTGACAGCCGGAAAGAGTACGAGAAATTAAAATACGTCAAGGGCGAAAAATTCACAACTCAAGAATCCCGTGGGGTCTAAGGTCGATTGAGGGAATGTTGTTTTTGTTGGGACAATGAATCGCACATCAACGTTATGAAAGATCTGTCACTTGTTTATAAATGCAAAATTTCACCCCACCCTAATGATGTTATATATGCTTAGATCTCCGAAGCCACAAAAAAGCCATCTAGTATTATTCCATATGAACTATTAATTAAGCAAATCAGTTACTCGTTCTTTTTTTTTCCCCTTTTTCCTTGCTTTCGTTTACCCTAAAGCAAGAGGGCCTGATAAGTCCCAAGAGAATTTTAATATAAAATAAATCAAGCTGAAAATTTTTCAAATTGGGCCCAGCAGTGATTGAAACCAAATTAATTTGGTTTTAGGAAACAAAACCCACTCCAATTGGGTTTTTGCTTTCAGGTTTTTTTGCTCTATAAAAGCAAGGATTTAGCATAATTTTTAGGTGTGTATTTTTCAGCCAAGAGAGAAGAAAAGTTTGGGCAGCCGTGCATTATTTTTGTACGAGAGAAAAAAAAAAAACTAGGGTTTAGTTTTCGGTTTAACTCTTTTTTGGTTAGATCCTTCCAGTCCTACTTTGTGATAGGTGTGTGTGGAAGAGTATTGTTGTAATCCACCTTTGGGTGAAGTCCTGTATATCCACCGGAAGACTGTTTTCCCATTATTGTGATAGTGGAGACAGGACATGTATATTTCAAATGCATAGATGTGAGCTCACTTTGTATCCATAGCTGGTAAATGTAATATGAAGACTTGGCATGGATTCAAATGCTTACATCAATCAAATGCATAATTCACTCTATAAGAACTCATTCTATGGATTGTTCTATGTATCTGAAGGAGAAAAATGCGACCATGAAAGTATGGATAAACAGTACCTTCCAAACGATTGAGCGCAATTCTCCACCATCAGAGATTCCTGAACTAGCAATTCTATGCAGTCTCTCCAGTTTAATTTCCATCTGGGAAAGCTACACCATAAAAGAAGCAACATTATTAACTTCAGCTACATAACATCGGCAAATGCTGTTTCATCCAAAATTGTCTAATTACATTCCTCTGTGAGGCTCTATATGAAATGGTTCATTCTATCCATCAGTCCTAATGAAACATCCCATATAAATTTGCAAGGAACTCAAGAAACACCCTAATATCCTGAATGTAAATATTCATTCCGAAGTGATGAATCATTAAAACCTTAGGAAATGGAAGAGTAAAATTGAAGTTTTATACTAACCTCGTTATCAAGATCCCAGCTTTTATCGTTGATTACCATCTCCACGGTTTCAACCGATCTTTTCCTTTTCTCTTTGAGGGCAGACCTCCTGATTTCCAAGAAATTATCATCGGACATATTCTCAACCCCTACATCTGGATTACCGATTTCTCTAACAAAACCAAGTTCCTATCGCTGAAACGTCTCTAATTCTTCACCAGACTCAAACCCTTTAGATATTCCTCCATTTCTTCCTTCTCCTTCCGCGCCATCGCAACCCGCCATTCTGCTAAACCTTTTAGTGAATACTTGCTGGGCATTTTGTGGGATCTTCTTGAGCAGATCTCGATTCAGCATTATTTTAGCTCCAGCCTCCAGCCCAATTGAACAGAGTTAACTGAGTGACTTTTTGGATATGGGTATGGACTTGAACACGGCCATTTCTAATTCTTTCCATGGAAATGGCAGAAAGTTTGATTGCTCGTTGGTCTTTCTCGGTTTGGGAGGGAATGGTAGTTAACGGTTGAATGGTCGATGAAAGGAACGACCCGCTAAAACTATTCTTTATTTCTTCTATATTTTCTATTTATATCGCTTCAAAATGCGGGGGAAAAAATGATAGACTTGAGGAAGGATTTTTAGAGAAACAAAAAAATAAAAAAATTGTCCCCTCCCTCTCACAAATTTTTCTGTACAATTATTACAATAAAGGAGTTATAGTCGTAAATCTGTATTAGTCTTTTCCTTTTCCAAATTACAAGAAATGTTGAATAAAATATATTTTTCTTTAATTGTAAACGTCTGTATCTTTTCAATAAATTGAAGTATAATCACATTATTGAAACGATTAGAGTTAAAATAAAATAAAGTATTACACATAAATCTAATTTCAACACAATTTTAGTAAATACAAATGTTAGGGGTTAAGCCATACTGTGGCAGCAACTTGCGTATGAAACACAAATGCCCTCGACAAAGGCTCCGCCGATGGATTTCCAAACGTTGAATCGTCTCATTGTGGCAACTTAAAACCGCTCATCACATAGCTGGTCGCCCTTAGGTCCGCAGCTGAGTTCACAAAATTTTTACTTGCCTGTGCAAGCAATATACTTTCTTAATTAGCTTCCAAAAAATACACTTAATTGTTATTAAGAAAAATAAAAACTATTACGAAAAACTATTCAAAACTAACAAAAAAAAATATTACTACCTCTATCAAAAAAAAAATTTATTTACATTGAATTTTGAGATTTGTACGAGTTTTAGTGCAAAATTTTAAAACTCAATGTAGTTTATTTTCTATGACAGAAGGAGTACAAAACATTATTCATGGCTCCAAAATGGTCATATCATTAAAAAGCAAACTACATTATGATCAGTATCAACTTCAGATAGTTACTCCTATAACTTCCTTTTACATAGAGGAGAATCAATGTAGAATGGCCAAGATGGAATTGCTAGAGCGAAACATGGAGTTGTAAATTCTGTCGAGGCTGGATATCGATGGTTATCATGTGGTTCAACCATCCTGGTTCCCATGTTGTATCGCACCAAGCTTCTATTTCCTCCTTCATAGTGATCTTCTTCATAAGTTACTTCACAATCCAAATACACAATATCTGGATCAAATGGATGTAATGATGCGTTTCTCACATCCTTGATCTTCAATTACGATATCTTCGATTCTGATTGTATGTTGAAGGCACCATTTGTTGTCCTCCTCCTGGAGTTGCCATACGTTGAATAAAATACCATGTTCAAGATGTCTGATTTGACAGAACTTTAATAGCCCTTGAGAAACGCCACAATTCGAAGACTCGGGTTCATTTGACGCGCCTTTTGGAATTTCAATGAACCGCAGCTTATGAGGAGTCATATAAGGATCATAGGCTATGATCCCTCCTGTACTTATTTTTTCCCTGGTACGTTCTTCGCCAGTATAATAAAGAATATTGTCACGGACAACGGGTCTCACAGAGCTGAAAATTAAAATCGGACAATCATCAGAGTGCACTTTCAAGGGAGCCCATTCCCATGTTTCCGAGGAGAATATCTCAACCGCAAGGAAGTCTTCAACCTTAGGTTTACAACTTACGATGACGACTTTGAAACTAGTCAAAACTCCTGATTCAACACGCGTAATAAAACCAATATTGACTTCATCCAAAGAGATACTTAGAGGAAGCGAAAGGCATTGTTGGGTTACGACATTGTAGATGCAATCAACAGTTTGATACGTTACGACCACGTGATTCAGTGTCGTCCATGCATCTCTTCCTAACAAAAGAAACCCGTTACTGGCTGCTAGGATATGAATTGACCCTAGGGTTTTTGACAACCCTTTGAGAAGTGAGTTTGGCAATGTAACCTTATGGACACTGGGACATTTAAAATAACTTTTTCTCACGCGTAACGTGATGGACGGATCTTTAAACAACTGAACCTCCGGATGGAAAAACACCAACGTGTTTTTCAGCCAAGAGAGAAGAAAAGTTTGGGCAGCCGTGCATTATTTTTGTACGAGAGAAAAAGAAAGAAAACTAGGGTTTAGTTTAGTTTTCGGTTTAGCTCTCTTTTGGTTAGATCCTTCCAGTCCTACTTTGTGATAGGTGTGTGTGGAAGAGTATTGTTGTAATCCACCTTTGGGTGAAGTCCTGTGTATCCACCGGAAGACTGTTTTCCGATTATTGTGATAGTGGAGATTTGACTGTTGTTACAGTCTCGTGGTTTTTTCCGATTTGGGTTTCCACGTAAATTCATGTGCCTCCTTTATTTTATCAGTTCTTGAATTAGTTGCTTGTTTGGGTGGTTGTCCTATTTTATTGGTAGTAGGAAAGGAGATTTTCTTTGGGTGCTTTGGTTAAAAAATCAACTAGAAAAAGGCGTAGAGAGATCTACATTTTTTTTTTTTTGGTAAAGAAAAATGTGGAGATCGGATTCTCAAAATCCGACCTACTAATTAAATTAGTAGTTCGGATTTTAAGAATCCAATTTAATAAAATAACAATTTTTATTTCCGGAAAATATATGTGAGAAAAATGTATTGAAAGTCAAATAAAGAACAGTCAAAGGTCGGATTTGAGGAATCCGACCTTGTTTATTTTCATTAAAAAATATAGGCGGGAGATTTGAAAATTAAGAACAGTACAAAATCGGATTTACAAAATCCGACCTTATTTAAGCATACCTAACAGTAGGTATCGGCATTGAATGGACGTTATTAGCTGGCAGAAGGTCGGATTCGTGAAATCCGGCCTTGATGTTAAATCGGATTTTCTAAATCCGATTTTATAAGTAAAATCGGATTTTAGAAATCCGACTTTATTGTGTTATAATGGGGCGACGGAAAACACTGTTCACATATCGGGATTTTTGGTAAAGTAGGCTATTTCTTGAAGGAGGAGGTGATTTTAGTGGGGATTTGAAGATTTTGTTCACGATTCTTCGCAACGGATGTCTTAAAACCATTTCATAAGAAGATTAGTTAATGTTTTGATGTATTTAGAATTATTGTTGTTATTTTCTTTGTAAAAGTTTAGAACTAGGATGATTTATAAGGTTTTAGGGTTGATGTTGGGTGTAGTTGATGATTGTTGTTGTATACGTGGTATTGAACGTTCAATTTAGTAAAATGCTTGAATTTGGCCTAAACTTTTGAATTTGTAGGGGGTTTAGTAAATTTAGTGTTGATTATGCCTTGTTTGTGGTAATTGTTATAATAAGTTGTTTGATAATGCCTTGTTTGTGTCATTTTTTTTAATAATTTGTTCATGATGTGTTGTAATTCATGTAATCAACAGATATAAATGGCGTTTAACGGTCCATATTTCATTAATGTCTATTGGTCGAGCAAATTTGTAGTGAAGAATGGGATTGTGAATAGTTTTAACAACATGCCGGACGATTCCTTTGTAATTGATCATAAGTTATTGTACAATGATTTGGTTGGACTGATTTGTGAAAGAGTGGGGTGGAATAGAAAGAATGTGAATTTGAGTCTATCGATTTTGTATGATACGATGCGCAATGGTTTTAGGCGTATCGCCAAAATCAAGGACGACGCATTGTTGCAAGTGTTGTATTTCCTCCCAAGTTCGACATATATTGATTTGTATGTAGATTTGGAGGTGGCGGGTATTTCTAGGTCCCATTTGGAAGTAGGGACAACTAGTGGTAGGCCGAATGTGGAGAATGTCGATTACATGGAAAATGATGATGTGGGTGGACCGTTTATGGAGGATGGCGATCACATGGAATATAATCACGGTGAAGATGATGAGGACTACACATCGATAAGTGATCAAAGCGATGAAAACCAATCAATATCCGAAGGAAGTCGGGAGAATGATGAAGAGGTCGAAGACAAATTCGCCACAAAGGATAGGCACATATATCGTTCACAGGGTACATGGGATCATACAAAAGTGGACAAGAATGATTTTCAACTTACCATGTGGGACGGGACAACCGCAACAACTGGGATAGGGACTTGTTTCAAGAATAAGGAAGAAGCAAAAAATGGTATTGCAGCGTGGAACATAGAGCAAAAGAGAGAGTTTTATGTGAAGGAAAGTGATGGTTCAACATGGTCTATTTGGTGCAAATCCCTAAAAGAGTCAACCCCTAAGGGTTATGTTCCTTGCCGTTGGAAGGTACGTGCTTCCTTGAGAGACCACGGTTTGTGGGAGATTGTGAAATGGGTGCCCGAGCACAATTGTATGAATGTCACCAAGGATAACAATAATCGGAATGTGAGCGCAACGCTTATTGCGCATCTCATGAGGCATAAGGTTGAGTTGGACCCAGATTATGAAGTGAAGCTCGTTCAGGAAGAAGTGAAAGACCGTATGCATGTCGATGTTCCTTACCACAGGGCATGGGAGGGAAGGAGAAAAGCTATCGATCTTGTTTACGGCGACTGGGTTTCTAATTTTGACATACTTCCAAGGTATTTACTTAAGTCCTATCTAATTTTTTTGATTTGTTTGTAATTTAGGAATAAAATAAGGATTAATTTTTTTATTTTCTTTTAGATTTTTCGCCGCCCTAGAGAAGAGCAACCCCGGCACAGTTGTAGAGTGGGAATGGCAACCGGGTTGGACCGATATAGAGAGGACATTCAAATACATTTTTTGGGCATTCAAGCCTGCAATTGATTGTTTTGCTAAATGTCCTCCGGTGATTAGTATCGACGGGACGCACTTGTGCGGCGGATACAAAGGTAAATTACTTGCTGCAATGATCAAAACTGCGAATAAGTGCATCCTGCCAATTGCATATGCGATCGTGGATGAAGAGAGTGAGGAAAGTTGGTCATTCTTCTTGAAGCATTTGAGGAATCATGTTATATCCGACCGGCCTGTGTGTGTTATATCCGATCGGCACAAGGGTATCATCAGTGCAATACGCCTAATGCCCGAATGGAATGCATACCACCGGTTTTGCCTTCGTCACGTCCGTAGTAACTTGGTGGCGCAGTTTCGAAGTAAAAAGATCAAAAGGTTGTGTTGGGAGATGGGCACGAAACTTTCTAAGTCTAAATTCAAAGAACTAAGGAATGAGCTACGTGATTTTAGCAATGATGCTTATTTGAATCTCGAGGAGATTGATGCTTGTCAGTGGACTCTTGCCAAAGACAAACACTATCGTTGGGGTAACCAGACAACGAACATTTCTGAGAGCTACAACAACGTCCTCAAGGGCGTTCGTTTCTTGCCAATCCGAGCTTTGGTGGAAGCTACTTTTATTAAGACTGTGGATTTGTTCCAGGAAGAATACGTGAAGTCGAGGAAATATATTACTCCGGTCCCAACTGACTTGTGGGAAGACTTCAAGAAAAAAGAAAAGAAAGCCGCGCAACATAAAGTCAACCTTTATGGTACTATTAATGGCAAGTTCAAGGTGAAAAATAGAGCCCGACTTGGTGGTAAAGGGGACAACACGTACACTATGAAATATGAAGAGAAGAAGTATTCTTGCAAGAAGTGGCAAGAGTATAGGTTCCCTTGTACACATGCACTAGCTGTGTGTCGGAAGATAAAAGATCAACCAATCAATACGGTGAATCCATATTTCAGGGTTGTTGCTTGGCAAGACCAATTCAGTGGGCGCGATGACTTTTCCCCGGTCCCTGATATGAGAAGATGGCCTAAGGTTGGATGAAGACTCGTTCCTAACTACGAGCGAGTTATTATGCATGCTGGACCCGGTCGTTGGCAAAAGAAGAGATTTAAAATGCAAATGGATTATAGGGGATGCAAATCGAGGGGTGAATGTTTGAGATGTGGCTCAAGGAATCATTTCACCAATGCGTGCCCAAAATCACACAAGAAATCCGATAGGACAAGGCCCAAGATCAATTGGGACGCCGATGGTATTCACAACGACTAGGATTGTTTGGTTGAATTGTTGTTTATGTGGCAAAACAATGTTTCATGTCTCGAAACTTTTGATATTTATGCTTTAGTTTGTTCGATTTGGAGTTTATGTTGTAGTTCTTTTGAACCATGAGGCTTAATGAATTAGTTTATTTAATGTATCTGAATTACAAAATCCCATCTAGGCATAAAGCTGGATTTTCTGAATCCGAGTTTCAAGGAAAATCGGATTTTGTAAATCCGATCTAGGCATAAAGCCGGATTTCCTGAATCCGATTTGTGCACTGTTCACTCAGAAGGTCGGATTTTGGTGAAATTTTGCAACCAACTTCGTAACTCTCTGTCCAAGGTCGGATTTCCTGAATCCGATTTGTGCACTGTTCACTCCGAAGGTCGGATTTTGGTGAAATTTTGCAACCAACTTCGCAACTCTCTGTCCAAGGTAAAATCCGACCTTGTTCTCAATGAATAAATCGGATTTGCAGAATCCGATTTTTGATGAGTATATAACCAGTTGACCAAAATTTGGGGGAGTCAAAATCGACTCCCCTTCTTATCCAACCCTAATCCCGGCGATTCCCCTTACTCAAGGTCGGATTCCCCCAAACCGGGCGATTCCCCTCCCCGGCGATACACACATTCAGGTAATTTGTCCATTTTTTTCATTTTCATTCAGGTAATGTGTGTGTGTGTTGCCAGGTGTGTGTGTGTGTGTATGTGTGTTGCCGGGTGTGTGTGTGTGTGTGTGTTGCCAGCAATGTGTGTGTGTGTGTTGCCGGCACTCAGTGTGTGTGTGTGTATTGCCGGCAATGTGTGAATGTGTGTGTGTGACTGTGTGAATGTGTGTGTGACTGTGTGAATGTGTGTGTGTGACTGTGTGAATGTGTGTG